CTTCTAACAAGTATCTCCATTCCTCTAGTGCCACCTTAATCGCCAAGAGCTCCCGATCCCCGATATCATAATTCCTTTCCGCAGGAGTTAGTTTCCTGGAGAAGAAAGCCACTGGGTGCATGAGTTCTTTGATGCCCTTCCTCTGGGACAGGATCGCCCCGACCGCATTCTCGGATGCGTCCACCTCCAAGATATATGGCAAGGACGAATCAGGGTGGCTCAGAATAGGAGCCGCCGTAAAAAACAATTTCCTTCAAGGCTTCGAAAGCCCTCTGTGCCTCAGGTGTCCATTGGAAGCGAACCCCCTGCCTGGTCAGCTGGGTGATAGGGGACACTAGGCCCGAAAAGTTCTTAATGAACTTTCTGTAGAAGTTCGCGAAGCCGATGAAGCGTTGGACCGCTTTCTTATCGGTGGGGGCTGGCCAATCTAAAATGGCTGAAACCTTTTGAGGATCCATGGCTATTCCCGTGGGAGAGATGGTTAGACCCAGAAATGAAATGCTACTCTGTTCAAAGCAGCACTTGTCTGCCTTGGCATATAAGCTGTGTTGGCGGAGCCGTTCTAACACGCGCCTCACGTGACCTCTATGGTCCTCCAAGGTTGGGGAAAAGACAAGGATATCGTCCAGGTATACAATGACGAAGATATCTAGGTAGTCCCTGAACACATCGTTTATGAAATGTTGGAAGGTGGCAGGGGCGTTGCATAGGCCAAAGGGCATAACCAAGTATTCAAAGTGTCCGAATCTGGTACGGAATGCTGTCTTCCACTCGTCCCCCTCTCTGATACGAACTAAATTATAGGCACCTCTCAAGTCTAGTTTAGTGAAGACAGATGCTGACTTCAGCCTCTGAAACAGCTCGGGGACGAGTGGTAGCGGGTAACGGTTTTTTACTGTGACCTTATTCAAGTCCCGGTAATCTACGCAGGGCCGGAGGGACTTGTCTTTTTTCTCCACAAAGAAAATGCCCGCCCCGGCTGGTGACGTGGAGGGTCTAATAAACCCCTTATGGAGGTTTTCATCTATATACTCTTTTAGTACCCCTAACTCCCGCTCGGATAAGGGGAATATCCGCCCAAATGGGATTTCCGACCCCGGGAGGAGATCAATTGGGCAGTCATAAGCTCGGTGCGGAGGGAGAGTGTCCGCCCCCCGCTTGCTAAACACATCCAGAAAATTATGGTAAACTGACGGAATGACTTGCGCCAGCTCTGCATCTGTCTCTAGACACAACAAGGTCGGTGGAATCGGGGAGATCTTAGGGAGGCAATGCTGCTGGCAGTATGGGGAGAGGAACTGCATAGAACCCGCCTTCCAGTCCACCTGGGGATTATGGGCTCGTAACCACGGGAGCCCCAAAATAATTGGAAATAGTGGGGATGCTATGGCGTCCAACCGAAGGAGTTCTTCATGATGGGTCGATATGGTAGTACGGATAGGTGGGGTCTCGTGGTCCACCACCCCTGACTTAATACGTGATCCATCTGCTAGAAAAATATTCAATCCCACCTCCTTGGTTTGTAGGGGAATTTGTTGCTGAACTGCAAAGTCTAAATCTATGAAGCAACTACACGCCCCAGAATCCACAATAGCCGTGGTCACCACTGTTCTCCCCGGCAGCTGAAGTGACACAGGTACCGCTAGATAACTAGTATTGCCCACACTGTTAGAAGTGACTGTAGAGAAAACAGCGGAACACTTACCCCTCTTGGCTGGACAGGTACGTACCACATGGCCTGCTCCCCCACAGTAGAGGCAGAGATGGTTGGCAAGACGCCTCTGGCGTTCCTCAGGCGTAAGTGTCGGTCGGATCCTTCCCGATGGCCCGGTCTCGGGTGAATCCATGGCAACCTGATTCTGGCCTGCCGGCTGTAACTGGGTTGAGGCCTGAGGGGGTGTTCCAGTTGATCCTTGTCCTTGGTTGCATCTTTCCTGCCTGTGCTCCCGTAACCGGCGGTCAATTCGAATAGTCAAAGCTATCAAGGCCTCCAAAGTGCTAGGTATGTCTATTCGGGCCAATTCATCCTTCAGGGATTCAGCTAACCCTACGCGGAACTGGTGGTGCAGAGCCGCCTCGTTCCATTGGCAGTCACTATGCCCAACGCCTGAATTCGGCGGCATAGTCCTCCACTGTCCGGTGACCCTGCCTGAGTGTATATAGGGCCCTCTCGGCCGTTGCGGTGCGCAGCGGGTCGTCATACAAGAGGGCCATAGCCTCAAAAAATACCGTCACTGACTGCAAAAGTGGGTCTCGCTTCTCTCGGAGATGGTGGGCCCAGTCTTGGGGTCCCCCCTGTAGTAGGGAAATAATGAACCCTACCCTCACCGATTCGGAGGAAAAGGTCTGAGGCTGGAGGTCAAAGTATAGCTGACAGGAGTTACGAAAGGCCCTGAATCTACTTCGGTCTCCGGAAAAACGTTCCGGTGTGGGGACACGGGGTTCTGGTGCGGGTAACAACCCCGGAGTCTTCCTAATGGGTTCCCCAGACCCCCTGGTAGGGGTAGCTAAGGTCTGCATGTGTCTGTCCAATACCGTATAACCTTCCTGTAGGCCCCTACAGTGTAAGGGTCTCCATCTGTTGGCAGATGTCGTCCAGAGGGGAAGTTCCCCTTCCAGGCTCAGTCATGGCCGCAAGGTACTGTCAGGCTCCCCCAACGGGATCTCTAGTGGTCCACGGCACGGGGTTTCCCAGGACGCGGAGTCTAAGTCCCAGTCTGCCTTTTCACCAGGCCCCTGATGGTGGGGATGGACTTGGTGCAAGACTGAAACCAGGTCGCGTCCCTGGGCACCCCCGGCGGCGGCAGAGGGGTCCCGCTGAGGGTATGTGCCCGGGTTGAGCCTGCTGTGAAGGGGATGACAGATCCCGATCCGAGCAGGATGGATGGGATGACAGATCCCGATCCGAGCGGGATGGATTGGATGACAGATCCCGATCCGAGCGGGATGGATGGGCAACTATCAGGAGTAGGCGAGGTCAGACTAGCCGGGTCGGTATTGTGCGGGCAGCGTGGTACAGGGGGAGTAAGCGGAGAATGGTCGGGGTCACAAGCCAGGTTCAGCAGGTAGCGGGCAGCGCGGTACAGAGGGTCAGGCAGAAGGATGGTCAGGGACGAGCCGGGGTCAGAGCAGGAGAAGGTCAGCATAAACAGAACAGGCAGAGTTTGGCAACAAGGAAGCGTACTTACAGGAACAGGAACGAGACCTTGCGGCAACTTGGAGATGCACAGGGCAGCTTTAAATAGAGCGCCCTGCTCTCCCATTGGTGCGGCCGCGATCGCTACTGCGCATGCGCGGCCGCCGCGATCGCCGAGGATTCTGCGCTCGCCGGCTGGGACGGATCGGCAGTCTGCGCATGCGCGCGCCGCCGAGGACCCGGGATCCCTGATATTTTAACAATATTCTAATTTTCTGAGATTGTTGATTTTGGGTTTTCATGAGCTGTAAGTAAATCACGGCTTGAACTATCTTGCTTTGTATGTAATGAGTCTATCTCATATATTAGTTTAACCTTTTAAGTTGCATTACTGAAATAAATGAACTTTGATATTCTAATTTTTCGAGTTTCACCTGTATATAGCGATCAGTTATAACATTACCACCACTGTCAGGTAAAGTGAATAACACTGATTATCTCATTACAATGGCACCACAAAGTGGGTGGGATTCATAAGGCAGCAAGTGAACGTCTCCCCCTGAAGTTGATGTGTTGAAAGCAAAAAATATGAGCCAATGTAAGAATTTGAGCAACTTTGACAAGGGCCAAATTGTAATTGCTAAATAGTAAAATGTAGCATAAATAGTGAGCGCTCCTTAAAATAGCTGCTAAAACACCAAAAATGTACCAAGATAAACCTTCAAATAAATCAGTAAAATGTAGGTGCAGCGCTTATTAAATATATAATAAATAAATATCCAATAAAAGGCAAGTAATGTATAAATTAGTCTGATAATATAAATAAATCAGTTCAAGTGAACTAGTTAAAGTGCGCACTCACCGGAAGCGCACAGGTAATGCGCATGTAAAATAATAGCCACCAAGGTAACTCTCAGTAGGCGGGATAGGTAGGTGAACTTCCATCTATGGAATGATCATCAAGTCTTGGGAAATGATAGGAATCTGCTGGATCCAGAGGTCTCCTTAAGGATGGATTAGGTGCTCAGCCTGAGTACAGGGCTCCTTTCCTCTGGTTGTAGAAAATCATTGGGTGTGACCTGCAAGCTTAATAGCTCCTCTCCTGAGTTCAAGCTCCTCCGTTGGTCACTGCTCAGAGATAGAGAAATAACTCTGCCAATTCATCTCCTCTGCCAGATTCCGAGCAGCCCGAAGGCTCCGGGGGCTGTCTGTGTCCCTGTTAGGGAGAGTCACCCTCTCTATTTATCCTGTTTACTATCATCGAAAGTGAAAGTAAAAAAACCTAAATTTTGGTTTGTCCCCGGGAAAGTAATAGAGGGGACATTTTCCAATGATGATACTAGATTTGGTGACCTGTTGGTCCCCAATGAATTCCCTTAATTTGCAGGGATTTTCTTTCACTTCCTGTTTTGGATATGGGACTGATAGTGAAAGGAAATATCCCCAATGGGACACAGATGGGAAAAAATAAACTGACAAGGTTTATAACCCTCCCCTATCCTTTACAAAATGAAGAAAACATTTTTGCCTAAAGTTATACTTAAAAAAAAAAAACTGCTGGAGCTAGCAATTGAGTAGAGTACTTCATGCCCAGATCTGTCAACAAAAATTCCTGGTTTGATCAATTTCAGAGCTAGGGTCTGGGTCTTCATCACCTGCTGATCTGCATCTAGCCCAACAATATCTATTGGGAAGTTCCCATGATGTGCAGATCATTGTGTCCTAAAAGTGGCTCTAACCAGATCTGTCAGCTGGCAGGTTGGTGGAAGAGCAACATGATGGTGTTCCTTAAAGCTTTGTACTCATGTATTACCATGTAATGCTATTAGTATTAATAATTAATACACATTTAATTGTCTTTTTAAAGGTTATTTATGCTTTGAATCTCAAAGTTGATGAATATGAAGCGAACATTCTAACTCTAAAGGAAAGTCACCAAAATGAAATAGAACAAATATCCAATGAAAAAAAAGAAAAGGTTCTCCAGTATGAGAGCATGGTGGGGGAGGAGAAGAACTTGAGACTACAGATCCAGAACCTGGAGGAGACCTTGGAGAAGAACAACATGGTGAAGGAACAAACTCTAGCAGACCTCTCAATGTACAAGAAGCAGACAGAAGAGAGGGAACTGAAGACCCAGTGTGAGCAGGCAGAAAGGATTGCAGCTCTATCCAGGGAAATGCTGTCTATGAAAACTGATTATGAAACCCGTCTACAAGAGATGACTGAGGAGGCCGATTCTCTGAGAAGGGAACGAACACTAGGTGAGAAAGAAAAATCCATAGAAAAACTTAATGAAAAGCTTAACAAGGAGATCCAAGCTCTGAACAAGGAAGTGGAGAGTCTTAAGAGCCAGAACCACAAGCTGACAGAGGAGTACACAATGAAGACGAACAAGCTTCACAGCAATTACATTAAAGAAAAGGAGAACTTAAGAAAGGCTTTGCAGCAGTCTGTTACTGAAATGATAAAACAGCTACAGCAGAAAGAGCAAGATCAGAGGAAGGCTAGCCAGGTCAAAGAGGCAGCAACTCAGCTGGAAGTCAAACAGTTAAAAGGGGACATTAAAGCAAAGGAACTTGAAATTCTTGAAGCCAAAGAATTTTCTCTCAGGATGCAGGAAAGGACTCAGGTGAGCATTTAACCGAATTCTTCTCTGACACATGTATTACAATTAAGGACATTTTAACAACGCAACAATTTTCAATTTTATGCCATTGTACATGTCTTGTTGTAGCCATTCCATCCTTAAAGCGGAGCTCCACCTAAAAGGGGAAGCTCCGCTTGTTTGCACCCTCCCCCCCCCCTCCACTGCCACATTTGACACTTTTTGGGGGGGAGTGGGTACCTGGTTTTGACATGTACAAAAAATGCCCACTGCCCCAGTCTATAACTGGCCTTCACAGCAAGGAGCACATGGAAGGGCAACGCATGTCAAACAATAAAACAGAAAAGGTCCCAGCTCAACTTGCCAGCCAGCTTGCAAACAAACTGAATTAACCTGTCTAACAGTATGCGTTAAAAACAGGGGTTTAGTTAGCACACATTGCAGATACATGCGTAAGCTACAGAGCCTCGTCACAGCACCCCAGTATTCTGTAGTTCCTAACTCTACAAATTTTAAGAGCCCCCATAGTAGAGGCACATGTATTTAATGGATAGACCAAGGGCAGGTGAACCTGAGGGAGCTCACCCCTCCCTAAAGGTATAGGATCGCACTGGACACCCAGCATGTAGCACAATGACAGCTAAGGTGTTCAGTGCACCCCCTCGATCAACAATTTAACAGTAAAAAAAATGGCCACTGCCCCAGTCTATAATTTGCCTTCACAGCAAGGAGCACATGGAAGGGCGAGTTTGCCACGGCGAACTGATCTGGAAGTTCGTCCCCCTTCCTTCCCCCAGCATTCTTCTGGGACACTTCACAGGTCCCAGAAGGCTACGGGACCAATCACAAGGCGCAGCGCGACTTGTGCATGCGTAGTAGGAAACCAGCAGTTAAGCTGCAAGGCTTCACTTCTGCTTTCCCTTACTTGCAATACTGGCACTGGGAACCCAAAAGGCTAGGTGATCACGGCGCTGGACCCATGGACAGGTAGGTGTCTTAATATTAAAAGTCAGCAGCAGTATTTTAATTTTTGGGGGGAGCCTGGAACTCCTCTTTAAGGGAATCTTGAGATTTTAATATTCACAACAGTGGTCCATCCCCATGGCAACAAGCAAACTTTAAAAATTTTCTCCTGGACAAAACTAACACATCAATGTTTTATAGAAGCTTAAAAAAGTGTATCTAACCCCAAAACCCAAAAAAGTAATATATTGCAGATTAGTTGTATTTTGTGTGGTTGCTGCATTTGTTTTCTTTCTTCAAGGTTCCTTTGCTTTATCTTCACTAGGTATCTATAAATAACACAGTTCCTGATCCTGGGTGGCTAAATCACTCCTCCACCATATCTATGGAAAGGGCCATGGTTCTTGCCCTAGGCTGCTCTCCTAATATGGACTACAAACATGTCCATATCCCTTCATCTCCACTATGGAGGGCAGGATAATTGGTAGTTTACAGAAGATAGCTAGGAAGGAAGAAATTCTCTGGTGCAGGTCACAGGACGTTACAAGGTCATTGCATTTCTGGAAAGATCAAAATATATTTTCTATAATGTTTTAGCTTGAAGGAATAAGAAAATTAATGCAGCCACTATGTCTAGGGATTGTAACTTGCAACATATTACATTTTTGTTCTTGGGTTTAGTTACCCTTTTAAAACATAAAGCCAGCCATACAAATAAATACAAAGTAGGAATTCATATATGTGCTGATTCTTCAGCATTCTATATAGGTTTAAATTGTAAACCCTCACCTTGCAAAACAACCTATTCAGTTTAAAATACAAATGAAAGGTAGAACATGTGTGCATGGATTTAAAAAACATTTTAATACCTTTTTTATAAGTGAACACATACCATCTGTCCTCAGCTGCATAGGAGCTGGGGGAGAAGAAACAGCTGTAGACTGATCTTCCCAGTGAAAGGCTGTGGGGGGGAGGGCATGTCAGGACAAGTCTGATCATTGGGGGATAGCAGGCTAAGTTCCCAGCACGGCTAGAGAATGGACCACACTGTGTTCTCCTGCTTAGTGTGGTCAGTTTTTAATAGGAAAGCAGAGGGACTGGCAGGAACACCATGGATTTCACACAAAGGAAGCAATACAAAGAGAAGAGGATACTTTTTCATACAAGTACAGCAGCACACATCAGGAATATGAAATGTTGGGATTACATATTATTTAAATCAGAAAGCCAGCCATATAGATAATAACATATTAGGAATTCACATATGTGATTTTTTTTTTACTGTCAAAATATAGATAATTCTGTTTATCCAGTCTTGTTATTGACACACCATCCCCGAACAATATAATCAGATAAATGGCACTACTGACACTTGTGTCAAGTATCAACTTCTTTCCTCCATACTTCTCACTGAAAAGTCAATGAGGTCCTCAGTGTCTCATACGGCTCAATTTACAAAGCTGTAGCATGGAGGATAAGGGTCTTTATTTTAGTCACTGTGATTTAGTGACTGTAATTTTTAAATCTCATTAGATTCAAGTGAAAATAACTGTCCATTAAACGAAAAATAAGTTTGCTTATGTGGGTGTTTTAACTTTGTCTATATAAGAATGGCAACCACTCCAATATATAAACTAGCTTCTGATGCAAAGTGCACATGGAAGGGCATTGCACAATACAAAACAAAAGATTTCCTAGTACATTTACCAGCTAATCTGCAAATAAAATAAAATGGCACTGTCTAACAATTTACGTAAAAAAAAAAGACGTTTTAGTTGCACACATTTGCAAATATACATTACATTGCCAAAAGTATTGGGACACCCCTCCAAATCATTGGATTCAGGTGTTCCAATCACCTCCATGGCCACAGGTATATAAAATCAAGCCCCTAGGCATGCAGACTGCTTCTACAAACATTTGTGAAAGAATGGGTCGCTCTCAGGAGCTCAGTGAATTCAAGCGTGGTACCATGATAGGCTGCAAGCTGTGCAATAAGTCCATCCGTAAAATTTCCTTGCTACTAAATATTCCACAGTCAACTGTTAGTGGTATTATAACAAAGTGGAAGCAAATGGGAACAACAGCAACTCAGCCACGAAGTGGTAGGCCACGTAAAATGACAGAGCAGGGCCAGCGCATGCTGAAGCGCACAGTGCGCAGAAGTTGTCAATGCATAGTCTATAGCTAAAGACCTCCAAACTTCGTGTGGCCTTCAGATTAGCACAACAACAGTGCGTAGACAGCTTCATGGAATGGGTTTCCATGGCTGAGCTGTTGCATCCAAGCCTTACATCACCAAGTGCAATGCAAAGCATCAGATGCAGCACAAAGCTGCAGATAAAGCACACCGCCACTGGACTCTAGAGCAGTGGAGACGTGTTCTCTGGAGTGATGAATCACGCTTCTTTGTCTGGCAATCCAATGGACATGTCTGGGTTTGGCGGTTGCCAAGAGAACGGTACTCGCCTGACTACTTTGTGCCAAGTGTAAAGTTTGGTGGAGGGGGGATTATGGTGTGGGGTTGTTTTTCAGGTGTTGGGCTTGGCCCCTTAGTTCCAGTGAAGGGAACCCTTAAGGCGTCAGCATACCAAGACATTTTGAACAATTTCATGCTCCCAACTTTGTGGGAACAGTTTGGGGATGACCCCTTCCTCTCCCAACATGACTGCACACCAGTGCACAAAGCAAGGTCCATAAAGACATGGAGGAGCCAGTTTGTAGTGGAGGAACTTGACTGGCCTGCACAGAGTCCTGACCTCAACCCCATAGAACACCTTTGGGATGAATTAGAGCGGAGACTGCGAGCCAGGCCTTCTCGTCCGACATCAGTGGCTGACCTTACAAATACGCTTCTGGAAGAATGGTCAAACATTCCCAAGGACACACTCCTAAACTTTGTGGACAGCCTTCCCAGAAACGTGAAGCTATTATAGCTACAAAGAGTGGGCCAACTCAATATTGAACCCCCACGGAATAAGACTGGAATGCCATTAAAGTTCATGTTTGAGTAAAGGCAGGCGTCCCAATACTTTTGGCAATACAGTTTATGTGGAAGCCGCACTAGCTTTTAACTTTGTCAACTGAGCCTGGTGTATGAGAACACAATGAGGTTACAGTGCTGGCATTCCCACTCTCACCGTGCTTTCTGTTGTGCAGTGGATTATGAAAAAATAGAATAAAGATATATTTCATATAACTAAACTAGCAGTAGTTAAAGTCCACCTTTTTGGTAAAAAAAAAAAAAAAATAAATGCTCATATTTTTGCAGAAAAAAAAAAATTCTGCAGGATCTTGCAAAGAGTTGCACCTGTGACATACCTCACAACATTTTGAGATAGGAAAGAGGGACACCTATTAGCGAATGTATGAAGGCATAGGACACATCCCCTGTCACACCCCCTTAAAGGAGAATTATAAAAAAAAAAAATTTGTTTTTTTTTACAACTACTATTCCTTTATACTGGCTTTTGAAGTTTACAAATGCTACCATTTAGTACCCGGATGAAAAGTTTATCACTGTGAAACACTTTTTGAAAGATAAATAGTGCATTTTATATACAACTATATAGTTCAGACCAACATGAGAGACAAATGAGGAGAAAAGAGGGACTTTGTTCCAAATCAGGGACAATCCCTCGAAATCAGGGACAGTTGGGACATATGCTATGATCAGTGGATTGCAGATACAATGTCAGGCTCCTGCAGACAAGTACTACAGCTTTCAGCCTGCTTCTCTGTACAGGCTGTCAGTTTGAAAGCTGCACTGCCCTCACGGTTCATTGAGACTGCCATGGTGGCAAACAGATTCCTGTGAACGAATGACCTGGCTGTGTGGGAGGAGCCCTGCACACCTGCACTGTTGTTAAAATGTGACAGCGGGTGTGGGGATAGGAACCCCGCCCACTGTCACAGCGGGTAGGATCGGGGGGATGAGGAGGACATGTGCTGTTGGATGTTACATGTTAAAACCTAAATATGAGTGTAATGCATAACATGTTCCAGAAGGTGAACTTTTCCTTTGAATATTTTTACAGATTATATTAAAAAACATGTATGCACATCATAGTCTGTGTAAATAAGTATAATAAAAATAATTTTGTTATCCTTGAGTCTAAAATCCTGATTAATATTCTTGGTATAGGTAAAATACTACGAGAATGGAAGTTGTCTTTTGTTGACACAACTGTCCATACATGACCAGCTGTAGCTGTGCTAAAACTTCAAAATGCAACAAAAAGATTACTACCCCTTGCATGGGCTGTATGACCTTTAGTATCATTACACTTGGTGCAGAGTTTTTACCATACGGGTATGGAGTGATAAAAACTGTTGGCTTAGACTTTTGGACATCTCATTGTCTATATATTATCATATGACTCTTGTTAAATGTGTGCACCTCTGGCTGTAATCAGTACTTTATTTACTGCATTGGTACTCATACAGTATACTAAATGAAATGTAGAGGAAAAGTGTGCAGGAGTTGTTGAGATGAGTCAGAAGACTCACTACAGCTCAGGAAACATGAGACCATATATCCAGCCTTTTTGATGGCCTGCACATTAACAGAGTAAATGTAGACAGCATGCTTCCTGCAGTAACACATTCTAGCATTCACTTTTACTAAAATAAAAGCTCGACACAGGTCATTGCTTAGACCAAGGGGCTCATTATTTAGATATAATTTGGGAGAGCATTATGTATAGTTTTGCTCCTATCTTTTATGTTACTTTGCTGTAAAGCAAGGAAGCAGAAACCCCTGTAGTGTATTAACTCCTTCACGCCTAAGGGTAAAACAAATCTTAATACCTAAGCACAATTTTGTGTTAGTAAAACCGTACATATCATCACAACTACTTTGTACATCCAGGTGAATTATACCTTGTTTTTTTTTTCAAGACAAATTGGGCTTTCATTTGGGGGTAAATGGTAATAGAAATCTCCGGATTTTTTTTTATTATCAAAGGAAAACTGGCCCAAAATAGTAAAAAAACCCACTTTTTTTTTTAAATTTAGCTGTGTGTTTCTTGTTAATACCATAACCTACCACCAAAGAACAACCCAAAATAAATTTTCTGGCTCTTGACGATCGCAGCGATAACATATATGTGTATGTTATTTGTTGTTTGTACCCATAGTACAGCCCAGAAACAATAGTGCGCATTTTGTTTTTTGTTTACCTAAAAACACGCTGACACTAATACCAATTAAAAAAAAATAAAAAATCCTGACCTTTGACCCTGACCTTTTTGACCTTTGACCCTGACCTTGACCCAAACACTTACCCTGGCACTGAACTAGATCAAACCTTGATCTAGGTATTTTTTATTTTATTTTTAATATTTCTTTATTTATCTTCTTTTTTTTTTCAACAAACATTTTTTTTCCCTCTATGCCAGGAGTTGGAGAGATACAATGTATCTCTCTCCTCCACTCATAGAGAGAGAAAAAAACAAGGGGGTCGGGCTGTACAGTGACTGATCAGTATGATAGCCAATCAGATAGCCAATCAGATCAATCATGTGATCCGGAATTGGGAGTCTCGGGTCCCGATCATTCTAACGGGACCCGTGGCTCTCAGTGACACCCCTTTTTTGTGCTGGGGCACGCAGTGTGGCACGCTCCCAGCACAAAGACAGGTACGCAAATATGTGGCCCCACGGAAAAAAGCCCAGTTCTGTGAGGCCGCTTATTTGTGTTACGTCGGTGTCAAGGGGTTAATGTTTTTTTTACTAAAGAAGAATGCTGTACATACAAACTACTTACAATTGTAGGAAAACGATATAAGACACTAAAAGATTACTTAGCTTGGGTTATCGTTCAAGATATCTGTAACAAAGGGGGCTCCAGGTTATTTAAGCGATCACAGGAAACTGGGTTCAGTTATAGTCTAGATTTGGTGTCATAGCCAGGTGAAGTCCCTTCTTTGGTTTTATGAAATCCCCTTTGGCACAGACCTTCCTTGGTGTTATGGAGCCCCCTTTCCTTCTCAATTCTTCTTTGTGTTATGGAGCTGTTTTCCTTCTACCCAGGTCTTTTCTGTGCTATTGAGCCCTCTTCCTTCTACCCAGGTCTTTTCTGTTCTATTGAGCCCTCTTCCTTCTACCCAGGTCTTTTCTGTGCTATTGAGCCCTCTTCCTTCTACCCAGGTCTTTTCTGTTCTATTGAGCCCTCTTCCTTCTACCCAGCTCTTTTCAGTGTTCAGTACATGGCTGTGTTTTCTCATTTCTTGCCAACATCACTTCCTTTTTAACTAGCTTTTATGAACCAGTTAAACAAGTTAATTAGCATTTGAATAGAGGAAACAAGGATTCTGAATTCTAGATCTTAGCTAAAATGCTAGATTCCATATACTTATGCTACAGTATAAAAACATCACAAAAATATCCATGGCAACCTATGTATAAATATGGCCTCCACTACCACCAGAAAGGATATTTCTCCAACACCCCAACAGAGCCACCTATATATAGTTTATAAAAACTTTCACAGAGCTAAAGTAACCCTTTATTTAAATAAGCTGGTACATCAAAACATTCCCCATGTTGTTTAAAATCCTAACAAACACTGCCATAGGATCAAGAATATTACATTGTACTAACTGGTTTATTGATTCAACAATACAGGAATTGCTGTGCAATGACTCTTTTCCAGGAGCTGGAACTAGAGTTAAGTCAGAGGGACCAAGAGCTGATAGAATGCAGAAACCTACAGTCCCAGGCGGAAGAGGAGCTTGCTGTGGCGAAACAGAGACTATTACAACAAGAAAATGAGATCCAGAGCCAGATAGGTAGTCCTTGTAAATCCTCTACTGAGCAGCAGTCTGCATGCATTAGTTGTTGTGTACTGCAAGGTAAAGCAATAATACCATTCTGTGTTTTGACAGAACAGATGAAGACCGTGTCAAGCGCACACAAAGCTGCTCTGGGCGAACTAGCTGAATTAAAAAGTCAATTAGATCAACTTCAGCAGAAGCCATCTCGTAAGACAAGTGCAAGTAAGAGAGACAGTGGGGAAGCTGTCAGTTCAAAGCAGGTATAATAGTAGCAAACAATGCTGAAAAAAAAAATGCTTTACATGGAAATCCCACAATGCACTGCAGATATTTATTGCTTTCTATTATCAGCCCACACCAAGAATGCTTATCAGTTAATAGGAACACGATAGAGTTACAACTTGCTTGTATCGTGTTCACTTTGTGATTACTTCAAACAGCTTAATGGCGTTGTTGTAATTCTGGTTTCTATACTTTGTTCAATGACCAATGAGATAAAGATGTCCCAGCAGGGCAGTTTATGATAATGTGCGCTTCATCTGACAATTTTTGTAATTTTAATTGTTTTTAAGTGTCTGTATCGCATTTTATTTTATTTGCTGTTGTTAAATGTGACAAATAATTTCAAAAACGTGATACTTTTCTTAGGAATGAGAAAGACAAAGGGGGTTATTTACTAAAACTGGAGAGTGAAAAATCTGGTGCAACTCTACATAAGAACCAATCAGCTTCCAGTCTTTTTTCTTGCCAAAGCTTAAATGAACAAGCTGAAGTTAGAAGCTGATTGGCTACCATGTACAGCTGCACCAGATTCTGAGCGCTCTAGTTTTAATACATCTTCCCCTAAAATATTCTGACACAGTTCCCCACACACGGTTAATCTGTAAAGTCTACGGGCTTGGGAAAATCCATATGTAAATGGATAGATAACTGGCTAAAAGATGGTATTCAGAGAGTAGTGCCTAATGATTTATACTCTGAATGGTCTAGGGTCATCAGTGGTGTACCCCAAGGTTCAGTGTTGGGACCCTTACTTTTTAATATATTTATAAACGATATAGGGTCTGGGATTATAAATCCCATTTCAGTCTTTGCAGATGACATCAAGCTATGCAGTGGAATAACGTCCTTACAGGATGTCTCCAACTTACAAGCCAACCTCAATGCACTGTTTAATTGGGCAACTATGTGGAAAATGAGGTTTAATGTTGATAAATGTAAGGTGATGCACTTGGGGGCTAAGAATATGCATGCATCATACATAGTAGGGGGAGTACAACTGGGGGAATCAATGGTGGAGAAGGATCTGGGGGTTCTGGTAGATCACAAGCTTAATAATGGCATGCAATGCCAAGCTGCTGTCTATAACGCAACCAAAATCCTCTCTTGTATTAATAGAGGTATATACTCCAGAGAGAGATATATCATATTACCCCGGTACACATCATTAGTAAGACCTCATCTGGAATATCTCTCTCTAGGTTGGTCTTAAGCGCCTGATTTGGGACTAGCCCAATGCTTGATGGTAAGAATGGCACCAATATTCATTCCTGGGAATCATGCGATCTGGCTGATAGTAACCAATAGGATGATGACCACCGTGGATATAAATGACAGTGTAGTTTCAAAAGAACCTTTTTAAACTTTCTCCTCTCCTCCCAGGCAGTAAACCAAGTTTCAGCATGTGAACAGAAACAAAAGCAAACATCCCATAGTGTAAAACCATAAAAAACTTTAATGATGGGGGGAGAAATTATAAGAATAAAACTCACAAGCAAAGTGCCCATAACCTGGCACTCAGTGTCTTCAGCCTTGCTGCCTGTGAATAGGAACCAAGATGGCCACCGTGTCCCAGCATGCGTACCACAGGGCGGAAACGACATCAGCAGAAGTTGCGTCTTCAAACCTCGACTGGTTTCGATCAATGCATCGTCATCAGGAAGTGCCACTGAATTTTTCTAGGAAAAAAAATACTGAGTGTTACAAGAAAAGTGTCAGAAAAGACCTGGTCTTCAAGTGGATATTCAGATAGTGTTTTCTTTTGCCTCTCTGTCCCATTTTTTTTTCTTTTTCTTTGCTGTCCTAAAACTGCAGCATGCTGCACATTTGAACCTGTTCATTCTTTTTTAGTATAGTTCATTTCTTCTCTGCAGTGTACTGAGCTAATTTTCTGATAAAGGCTGACTGTAAAATTACATATGTATACTTTCCTGGATTTCATTTGTATTTTTTCTTTCTAGGCATTCAGAGAACACTCAGTTCCAAGACAAGAACATGGGAAACAGCACAAAGATGAAGTCAGTAAAACAAAACGCCAGAGAGAGGCAGAGGCCAAGCATCTTAAGGAGCAGTTAGCAAAGAGCCGAGAAGACTTAGCTAAGATCCACGCTGCAGAGATGAAATCTGTGCAAATTGCCATGGAGGCAGAAAAAAGACAGTTGCAAAAAGTACAGTAGAAACCAGGAAAAAAAAAAAACACTATTGTACAAAGATGATAACTTAAAGTGGCCACTTTGGTGGTAATTGGTGCAACAGTCACAGCGCTCTGTCAGCTAGAAGCATTCTTCCCTCTTCAGTTAGGACACTGGGTTTGATTTACTAAAGGAGTGAGGTATGTTCACTTTGCAAAGTGAATTTTTACTTAGCTAAGTGCAAATACCCAACCATATTAACTGCTTCCCGACTGCCCTATAGCAGAAATACTACTACTGGGTGCCATGGGTGCGCAAAATCACGTATATATATGTGATTTTGCATTTACGGGCAGGGGCTGCGGCTGTCAATCACCGGGTCATGGCCACTGATTACCCACCGGTGCCCGGTGATTACCAAGCACCTCCGATGGGGAGGAGGACTGTTTTGTTCACTAACAGTTCTCCTCTCTGTCAGCTCGGGCACACTGCTTTGGATGGCTGTGCACAGCACAGCCATCTAAAGCAGTGTGATTACAGTGAAGCACACTGACACCGCCCCCTAGTAAAACACTCCCTGCACACAGTTAACCCTTTGGTCGCCCCTCATGTTACCCCTTCCTGCCCAGTGCCAATAGTACAGTGTCAGTGCTTTTTTTTTTTTAGCAGTGATCACTGTATTGGTGTCACTGGGGATGTCGGTGACACCAAATCAGTTCCCCCCAATGTCAGAATGTCCGCCACAGTCCCGCTATAAGTCGCTGATCACCGCCATTACTAGTAAAAAAAAAAACAATTCCAGTATCTATACCGCCATTTGTAAACGCTATAACTTTCATGTAAACCAATTAATTTCACATATTTGGATTTTTTTTAGCAAAGAATTGTAGCAGAATAAATTTTGGCCTAAATTTATGATGAAATTTGATTTGAAATTTTTTTTTTTACTGGACATGTTTAATAGCTAAAAGTCAAAAATACAGTTTTTTTTCTCAAAATTGTCAGTCTTTTTTTTTATAGCGCAGAAATTAAAAAATGCACAGGCAATCAAATACCACCACAAGAAAGCTAAATTCGTGGGAAAAAGGGGATGTAAATTTCACTTAGGTGCAGCATTGCATGACCGCGCCATTGTCAGCTAAAATAACGCAGTGCTGTAACGCAAAAAATTGCCTGGTCAGGAGGGCAATTGGTTAAGGTACAAATTAAAAAAAACAAAAACATTTTCCTTATACATTATTGGGTGATCGAACTCAGCACAGATTCATCTTATTCACTAAGCTGAGCCAAAAGTCACTAAACAAAGTGAACTTGATCTACTCCTTTATTAGTTCAACCCCAAAGTGCTTTTCAGAAAGCTAGGGCCAATTTCTCTATCCTGCAGTGAGTTTTGTTTCACAACATTTTTATTGGGTTTTACATGTGCAGAAGCATAAATGGTACACAATTCATTACACTGACAATTAAAGAAGGACAATGAAAAATATAGCAAGGGAGGTATCACCATAGATTTCCATAAAAACAAAATAGAAAGGAAAGTTTCACCATTGATTTCCATAAAAAACTAAATAGAAAGGAAAGTTTCACCATTGATTTCCATAAAAAACTAAATAGAAAGGAAAGTTTCACCATTGATTTCCATAAAAAACAAAATAGAAAGGAAAGTTTCACCAGTGATTTCCATAAAAAACAAAATAGAAAAGAAAGTTTCACCAGTGATTTCCATAAAAAAACTAAATAGAAAGGAAAGTTTCACCATTGATTTCCATAAAAAACTAAATAGAAAGGAAAGTTTCACCATTGTTTTCCATAAAAAAACTAAACAGAAAGGAAAGTTTCACCATTGTTTTCCATATCAAAAATTACAGACAGTCAATGCCACAGTCAGAGGAGAAAAGAGAAAGTAGATATGAACTGTACTGTAAATCTAAGTGGCTGGAAGAATGCACCATGCTTCCATAGAACAATATAGGGAAGGTGATAACAGGAGAAATTGTAATGAATTAGGCACAAGCTCCAACTATGCAATAGGGGATAGAGTGTGAATTGTAATTGGGAACTAAAGCATAAAAAGAGGGGAAGCGCACACACGAATAAAGGGTGAAAAGAGAAAGGTCAAGTTGCAGGGTGGAGGGGGGATAAGGAGAGGAGCTGAAGAGCTCCCTGGGAACTAGTTAGCCATGCAACCCCATAACATCTCACAGGCTACACTAAAGAGAGAGAAGAAATTGATCGAGGTTTAGAAGGCTGTTGTAGTCCAACATAGGGGCCATATTTTCAGAAATGTAGGTGGGTGGGTGTCATTGAGCGTTGCAGTTAACTTCTCACGCACCATAGTGCCCATTATTTGTTGTTCATTATTCGTCTTCAGTTGGTTGTACATTGCCCAATCCCCTGGCTAACTTTTGCCTGGCTGCAGAAAACATAAAACTCGCCAGTGCCCCCTGAACAAGCAGCTCGTTCTGGGGACAGTTATCACGGGGAGGGGCCTGAAGCACTAGCGGAGAACCTGATAAGAGGAGCAAAACCATTGCACAGCGCAGGTAAGTATGATAAGTTTATTTTAAAAAAAATCAGAACCTTTACAATTGTTTTAAGGAGGAAGTGTGGTGTGTTATTGGCCAGATCGTCAGATGAAAATAAAGCCAAAAAACCCCCCAAGAAACTAATGCCACCCCCATATTTAAGGATTGCTAAGCTGAAATATATAACTTTTTTTGTTTTTGGGTTTAACTTCAGTTTAATAGGAAATTGAGACTCTAATTTAGACATGTGCATAACGGAAAAATGCATTCTGTTTCATTTCGGATAAATTTGTTAATTTAGTTTCATGGATTTGTTTCAGAATTAATTTAGTATAATTTCATTTTGCCATGTTTCATTTATTCATTTTCTAACGAATTCCAAATTTTTGAATTTGAATCGGTCGAAAATTTATTGAGTGAAGAATAGCTGGTTGTTTAAGAGCTCGCCAGAAAGCCAGCCACCACGTTCTTAACAACTTATGACTCATCAGCAGTCAGTGGGTTTCTCCACGAACAGCTCAATCTATACCAAGCCCTTCGGGTATGGTATTGATTGTAACGTCAAAATTTTAAAAATGTAAAAGAAAACCCATGTTGAGGACATGTGGCCTGGTATGGCTCAGGAGGAGTGTGTGTGTGTGTGTGTGGGGTGGGGGTTTGGCGGAGGGGGGCACTCGCTCATGTTCCCCCTTTCCTGACCTGCCGGGCTGCATGCTCAGATAAAGGTCAGGTATGTATTTTGGGGGAACCCCATGATGTTTTTTTTTTTTTAAATTATGGCCTGAGGTTCCCCTTGAAATTCATACCAGATCCAAAGGGCCTGTTATGGATGGAGGGGGGACCCCACATTGTTTTTTTTAATTTTCTTTATTTTCCATTGCCGGTATTTTTTTGTTTACATTTAGCTGTCAATGGGAAAATCAACTAACAGTTGATGAGTCACCGTTGCTAAGGCTGCGGCAGCTGGCATGCCGGCCTGCTCCTTAACAACCAGCTATTCATCACACAGAATTTGGATCGGTCAAAAAAAAATTTGAACAATTCAAATTGTTCTGAAAATTTGGAATTAAAAAACAAATGAACTGAACGAATTTGACCAAAAATTTACTATTGTTATTCAGAAATTCAGATACATCTGAATCCCCAAATAACCAAAAATGTGTCCAAATTTAGATTCGGACCGAAATGAACTGCACATGTCTACTCTGATTGGGACCTTTAGGACACTTAATCAGATACATGATGAACCTAACATATACTCCAGTCCACAGTGTTCACTGAAGCTATAACATACCAGCGGCTAAGTTCCATTCAATCTGCAGTGAACAGAACTTCAATGAAGCAAAGTACTGGAACTGTCTGTGGTGCCGGTACAGGCACTGCCACAAAGTAGTGAAGTGGGTACTCCTGTTCAGGGTGCCTGTACTATAGTGCACTGCCACAAAGTAGTTAATGCAAATTCCTGTGTTTAGCTACAAACAGACATTGACATGCTTGGCCCTCCCCCCACAAAATATATAAAATTTATTCTGTTTAGAGACAGATTATTTTATTGCTTTGTGTTTTTGTTTTAATTATTAATACATTTCTGCCCATTTAAAATGCTTACAGGAACATGAAATGCATATAGAAGAGCTGAAAAAGAAAAATGAAGCCAAGATCAGTCAACTGATGGAGGAGAGAGACACCCTTTATGTTAAACTTCAAGATTCCATATGTCAGGTATCTGTGATAAGAAGGAACAATCTGGGTAGTGCTTCAAAGTGGAGGGCTCATACTGTAATGGAACCTTTACAAAGACTAATCCCCATGGGCATTTCATCCTACCATTGTACCACCTGGCCAGGCTATTTTCCTCTTAAGAGATCACACAGTGATCTATTACCATATTCTGAAATACCAAGACCAACCCGTCTAGGACCAACAACCATGCCACATTCAAAGTCACTTAAAGTGTTACTAAACCCACAACACTAAAATCAGTCTGTATATGCAGTAAAGCATGCTTGTTATACTCACTGTGGAACCAAAGGGGTTAATCCCCTGCATTGTGTAAAAAGGCTGTTTGATCCTGTCTTTTCTGATCCTCCCCTTCTTCTACTGTCCCCAATCCTTCTGCTAGAACAGAGTCTTGGGGGCAAGCTGCACATGCTCAGTTTAGTGTGTATTGCTAGAGAGGTTTTTTTTTTCTTGGGAGAGTGCATGTGATCAGCACAATGCCAATGAGCACTGTACAGACAGAGGGTCAGGGGTCCTGCAGCTTCATAGGACAATATTTTATTAACTTATGTTGAAGTTCATTCAAATAGAGTAACTCTTCCTCTATACTAACTCTTCTTCTTTTTCACTGCAGGTAAATAATGGATTCCAAGCAGAAGCAGCTTGCCATCACTGAGTTCTTGACGAAGGAGGGGTACAGGCTGTCCAACACATCCACAGAAGTCTACAGAATGACACATTGACAGGAGCAATGTGCACAGATTGAAGAAGAAGTTTAAAAAAGGGAAAACCAGCACTGAAGACAAAGCATGACAGCCCGCATCCTCCTTTGTCAAGAACTCAATGATGACATGCTGCTTCTGCTTGGAATCCATTATTTACGTTCATTGAAAAAAGAACTATAGTTACTATAAAGGAACGGGAGGGTTATACCCCCTGTCAGATTTTGTTTCGCCATCTGTGTCCCATTGCAGATATTTTCCTTCACTTCCTGTCCCATAGCCAGACAGGAAGTGAAGAGTAAACCCTGCAAATTAAGGAAATTCCTTGGGGACCCCCAGGTCACAAGAACTAGTGTCCCCACTGGAAGATTTCCCCTCTATTACTTTTGTGAGGAAAACCTAAAATTTGGGATTTTCTTTTACTTTTAATGATAATGGTAAACAGGACAAATAGAGAGGGTGAATCTTCCTAAAGGTGGCACAGACAGTAAAAATAAAAACTAACAAGTGTGATAATCCATCTCCACTCTATCCAAACCTGAAAAAAAAAAAGTGTTGCGTTTAGTTATACTTTAAAAAAAAGTTGTATGAGTCCAGATTTATTTCTGAAACATCCATTGTGTTGCCTACAGCAGCAACTAGCTTCTTTCTTTTCTGACCTGCACTAAATGTAAAACATATTAACCAATTCCCCCCAGCCCTATAGTACAATGACGAGCGCAAGGTGGTTCTCTCGTTCTGATAGGACGTCATATGACGTCCTACCATTCTCACTGCGCATGCTCCGCTCTGGGAGCGCGGACACAGCGGATCACGGAAAGAGCCAAAGATGTCGGCTCGGTCATGTGATCAGCTGTGTCCAATCACAGCTGATCACATGTAAACATGGAAATGCTGGTTATCGTCATTTCTCTCCTCTCGAGCTGTCACGCTGACAGCTCAAGAGGAGAGGAGAGCCGGTAATCGGCTTTCTGCGGAGGGGACATGTACACTGATCATCAGGGCACTGATGATCAGTGTGCCCTGATGATCAGTGTGGCCCCAGAAGTGCCACCTGTCAGTGCTCATCAGTGCCACGTGCCAGTGCCCATCAGCGCCACGTGCCAGTGTCCATCAGTGCCACATATCAGTGCCACAAATCAGTGCATACCAGTGCACATCAATGCCACATAACAATGTCACCCATCAGTGCCAGTCAGTGCCACCTATAAATGCCAATCAGTGCCACCTATCAGTGCCAGTCAGTGTCGCCTATCAGTGTGCATCAGTGCCAGTCAGTGCCGCCTATCAGTGCCAGTCAGTGCCGCCTATCAGTGCCAGTCAGTGCCGCCTATCAGTGCCGCCTATCAGTGTCATGTATCAGTGTCATGTATCAGTGCTGCCTTTCAGTGCCCATCAGTGATGCCTGTCAATGCCCATCAGTGCAACCTACCAGTGCCTCCTCATCAGTGCCCATCAGTGCCACCTATCAGTGTCCATCAGTGCAGCCTATCAGTGCTTATCACTGGAGCCTCATTAGCGCACATCAGTGAAGAGAAAAATCACTTATTTACAAAATTGTATAACAAAAACTAAGAAAAAAACTTTTTTTTTCTACATTTTCAGTGGTTTTTGGTTTGTTTAAGAAAAAAATAAAAATCCCAGAGGTGATTAAATACCACCAAAAAAAAGCTCTATCTGTCTTAAAAAAAATGATAAAAATTTCATATGGGTACAGTGTTGTATGACCGCACAATTGTAATTTAAAGTGTGACAGCGCTGAAAGCTGGAAATTGGCCTGGGCAGGAAGGGGATATAAGTGCCCTGTAGGCTAGTGGTTAAATTTGTTGCTTCAAGCCTTTCATCTTGCTTTATTAACTTAATTGTCCTGTATAAAAGTCCCTAAACATGTAAAAAAAAGACAAAACTTTAATTCTGCTAATAATAAAGCTTAGAATTTCCCTTTTATGATTCTAGTGAGGTAACAAAGTGGAAGGGAGAATAGAATTTTGCCATTGGCAACATAGGACGTTTTTTCCGGGACTTTCATATATGAGTGCAATGTGTGCTTGGCTGGAATGCTATGTTAGCTGTCTAACTCAATAAGTAAAAATATGATGATATACCTAATTGTAAGTGGCAGTGTACATTTGTGGTATTAAAACCAGTTATATAACAATAATTTAATTTTTCATCAGAATAAAGCTCTTCCTCAGCCATGTGAAATGTCCGGTTCAAGTATATCGAATAAGGAAATTAAAGAAAACGCACAGCTGTCGGCTGATTTTAGAAGCAAGGAAACTAAAAGGTAAGGTTGTGATGGTATAACAGCAGATGTAATGCCCCTCCTAGGTGATTCTCCCTAGTTTAGTTGAAATCATGTGAGTGGAATAGACATCTACTAACAAATCTACTGCTTTGACAGAAGCTAATAGACTAATTAAAAAAAAAAGAAAAGATACTCACTTAGGTGGATGCAGCATCAGTCCAATGCTGCATCTGTCCCCCACTGGGGAGGAGTGAGAACTGAGCTGCTCAGTCTTCATTCTGCATACAGCCGATGACTGTTAGTCACTGCCTCTCTGCTATGCCCCTCCAATGCTTACTGGAGCGCTGGGCTATGGAGGGGGTGGGAGCGGCTGGTTCAGGATCTCATCAGCTCCCTGAGAAGCTGAGCCAGCTGCCTGTCCAGGCATCTGGATGGATCCTGACCATACGGTCAGGATCTTTTAAGAGCCTGGACCAGCTCTGTGACATCAGATGACAGTGGACTTTTCAAAATCTTAAGCTGCCCATAGATTGATTGAAATCCAGTTGGTCCAAAATGGACCGGATTAATTTTGATCCATCTATGACCATTCCCGCTTGACAGAAATGGATCTAACGGTCAACATCTGTTGAATGGGGATGTTGGGAAACTTCTAGATCAGCAGCTATAGCCAATTGACTGCAGCCACCAATCAGTGTATTCTGACAATGGAGAAGTCCAACTGTCCTCATACAATACCACAGTGGGGAGGATTCCTCCATCCTCCTCACTTGTGTGTATGGGGGAATCCATTCATTATTTTTCTAATCAGCCCACTGGCTGGCCTTACCTCTACATCCCTGTTACGGCAGTTGTGCAAAATGCAGTTAATAGGCACAAGAATAAGACCTGGAGCTCCCATTAATCAGCACTCAGTAACAGCTCTGGTCGGAAACACCCCCTTGCTGCTTCTGAAATACATGTCTGTGTGACAACGCTTGTTCTGAATAGTGTGGCTGTTACTTAGCTATATAAGTAAAAAACACTGGAGTGAGAAGAAAGGACTCAGCATTTTCACTGAGAAGAAAGTATATTATAGCATTTTGTATGAAAAAGAGTCATGAATTATACCATGGGGGGGGGCTACAAAACTAACTAGAGACAAAAAGGTGTTAGACTGCAACTGGGTTACCCATACACCTAAAGTACATCTGTAGGCTCCTATGTGGCAGTTTAGGCAGAGCTCAAATCCAATTACTATGTGTGTACAAGAGTCTCATAAATGAAACAAAAACTTTGTCTACATTTTATGAGTCTTCAAAATCCTCCACTTGTCCCTCCCTACCAGAGAAGGCAGTCTACATTGGGAGGGTTTCAGAAACATAGTCAGTACTGCCAATCCAGAAAGCAGTGGGAAGGGATAGGTGTGACCGGCTGTTGGCTGACAAGCTTCAGGCTTAGGAATCATCAAAGACAATGCTGATAGCCACACCTCCTACAACATCTTTTCATCCCACTGTAGTGTAAGCAGGCACAGCCTACACAAGGGTGGCAACACTGCTTTGACTTCAGGATCAGTGCAGCAGGGTTGTCCCCTCATCACAGGAAGCTGCATTAGATGGACTTCACCAATGGGATCAACAGGTATCTGTAAGACTTTGCAGGGGTACTAAGGAAAAATGGCAAACTTACAATTAAATGCTGGAGCACATTTTTTTTTTATTTAACGGTAGGCCATAGTTCTACTTTAAAGATTGGATCACCTAATCAGAGTGGGTGTTCTTCCATATTGTATGATAAATCAGCGATCATGCAAGGGACACTGGGTATGGCTGAATGATGACAAATATGGCTGACCAGTTTTGCCTTGTCTGAGCTAGTAATAATAATAATAATGGAAGTTGTCTGTTACCTGTATATAGGTTGATGATCTTTAAATGAGGTCAAAAACTAAATCGTCAAATAATCTGCATGACATTACATGAATGCAAGGCAAGAGCTGAAGCGGAGGTTGACGTTCTTAATCAGAATGTTATGCTTGTATAGACATTAGGAAAGAGCACAGTCCTTATGAAAGTTAATGCTATTCATAATCATGTTAATAACACAATTAATCTTCTACAATATGTGCATTTTTTGATAGATATGAGCTATGTGATTGTTCTTCAAGCCCTGCTTCTCAATTACATGCAACACAAGCAGAGTGCGAACATGTTGTTGGACTACAGGTATTCATCACTGTCTATATCACGTAATCCTTTTAGCTTGAAGCATATGTTACTATTTATATATATGTTTTGTTATAACAGATAAAAAATAAATATGTTTTATTTATTTTCTTATGTTTTTGTTCACATACATATGTCTGTCTATGTTGAAAAGCATAGAATCTATAATTTTCATGTACCTCTTCCATCCGAAGCACCTGGTTGATCCTTCCAGTGGCTTTTCTTCCATGTTCTAAACTGACCACACAATGCACAGAAGCTAATCTGTATTAGGTGGTCAGTTTTCATCCTTTGCCTGGCCATTTAGAGGTACAGGGCACTGTGGAGACACACAGCATGTATTAAGTAGTTTGTTCAGCCACCATGCCCCCCCTGCTCAAGCACAGCCTGCCTCTTGCCTGAGACTGAATACAGGCAAAGTGTGTGTCTGTACAGTGTCCTGTAACCCAGCCCCCACTATCAGGAACAAGAGATGCACGGTCACATGACAGAACTTTGTAAAAAAGGTAAAAAAGATAAATTTTGAAACTAAGAAAACCAGTTATGGTGACTGCATAGCTAAACTGTATTAGAAACTGTCTGTAATACTGTATGTTTACAGCTACAAGTGTATCTAAACCCAAGAATAATATTGCAATATATTGCAATCCTTAGATGTGGTAGCTGCATTTTCTTTTATCTTCCCCTGGTGATCCCTCCAGCAACACACCTTCTGTGCTAGGGTAACAATGCCTGCTCACTGTACTTTATCTATGATGGAGCAGCATTTTCCCTAGGCTGCTTGTTTCAGATTTGGGCAACAGGAATGGGGGAGGTGTTCTATAGTTCAGAAATGAGCTAGGCAGGGCAAATAACACTTGAGATTATAGAACAGCATTGTCAGCTGGCAGAAAGTTACAAGCTCACTGGGTTTCTGGCAGAATCAACATTTATCAAACATATATAGCAAAATGCTTTCATTCAGTATATATTACTGAACAAAAGGGAGCGAATAAGTAAAGGTAATTGTTATAGTTTACATATACTTAAACTATAAAGAATATATTACTCCAACATTTCATATTCCTGATGTGTATGTTGTACCATGTACATGTGTGAAAAAGTATCCTCCTCTCTTTGTATGTACACCTTTGATCAGGACCATTTGGGTGATTTCTGTTATCATTATGATTTAAAAAGGAGCCAAACAACTAGTTGATAATAAATGGCTTCATATGATCATCATCCTTCAATAAAAGAGCATTTTTTCCATGATCAGTCATATTTTCAATATCAATGCCAAAATTTCACAATTTCTGTAAGTGTATGTAAACGTTTGAGCACAACTGTGTATATGTGTATATATATATATATATATATATATAAAAAACAATATAGGTATCTTATGTAATCATATAGTTGTTGCCACATTAATAGTCCAGTGGCTGAAATTTGTAAATGGTTCTGATTTTAACTGATTAATATTTAGGGAAATGGCAGTGTGTGAAGTAGAGTAACCTCAGCAGCCACTCTTCATTATTCTGACCATTTTAAATTCAGATAAAAGTGAGATAAAGCGTATTTAAACCCAAAAACAAAAATGTATTATATTGCAGGTTACCAATCTTTAGATGTGATGGCTTCATTCATTTGCTTTTGCAGTAGTGGAAGCGGCACTGAGGCTGGAGAGTTAATATTGTGAACACTTTATCCTCTACAGCTGACAGCTGGAAGTAAACAAAGGGATAGGGATACTGGTGATATTGTTGCCTAAAAATGGCCATAACCATAGCTGGACAATGATATCAGCCAGGCCTACAGATGAATGGGGTCAGTGATGAATCATTGTTTGCTACGAAGCCAATGGCTGCCGGCATTCTAGCAACTACAAGGCCTGTGTGGGAAGCTGCTACATTGATGACAGCTTTCTGGCACAAATTTCCAACTGTGAGCGCTGGCACCTCTGTGTACCCCAATACAGAGTTGATCTTAATTACCACCGGTTTGAATTTCTGAGAACCGGCATTAATTCTGTTTGAATGTGTTACATCTGTAATGACTGGTTCTAAAGGTTGTGTCAGTAAGAAGTACTTGAATCTGACTCACTAATCGGTACTGGTATCAAAACTGGGGCACAGCTTTCATGAATGGGTGCAGGTCATGTTAAAGAGGCCATATTGTCTGAAAAGTGTTGTTATGAGGGGTTTCTAGCTTGGCACCGCTACCTTTCACAGAGCATGTTGCAATTTTTATTATTATTATAATACAGGATTTATATAGCGCCAACAGTTTGCTCAGCACTTTACAATATAAAGGGAGACAATACAGCAACAATACAGTTCAATACAAGAGGGTTAGGAGGGCCCTGCTCCTTGGAGCTTACAATTTAAGAGGAAGGGGCTGGTGCTTCAAAAGGTAATAACTGTGAGGGATGAACTAATAAGGAATAGAAGCTTCCATTATTAGCTGAAGGCAGGATATGCTTCCCTGAAGAGAGAGGTTTTCAGAGATTGCCTAAAAGTGGGCAGAGTAGGCGATAGTCTGATAGATTGGGGTAGAGAGTTCCAGAGGATGGGGGATGCTCTGAAGAAGTCCTGGAGATGAGCATGGGGAGGAGGAAACAAGGGAGCTAGAGAGCAGGAGGTCATGGGAGGAGCAGTTTGGGTGATATTTGGAGACAAAATTGGTGATGTAATTTGGGGCAGAGTTATAAATGGTTTTATATGTGATTGTTAATGTTTTGAATTTTATTCGTTGGACAATGAGAAGCCAGTGGAGGGATTGGCAGAGAGGGATGGCAGATACGGAACGGTTAGTAAGGTGGATGAGTCTGGCAGCAGCATTCACGATAGACTGAAGAGGGGATAGCCTGCAATGAGGTAGGCCAATGAGGAGGGAGTTACAATAGTCAAGGTGAGAGATAACAAGGGAGTGAATAAGTTGCTTAATGGTTTCAACGGTTAAGAACGGGCATATCTTGGAGATGTTGCGGAGGTGAAGTCTACAAGATTTGAACAGGGATTGGATTTGGGGATGAAAGGACAGATGGAAGTCCAGGATTACAACTAGTACCCTGGCATGAGGGGAGGGACTGATGGGTGTGTTATTAATCTTGATGGAGAAGTCAAGGGAGGGGGCACAGGCTGGAGGGAATAGTATGAGCTCAGTTTTTGAAAGATTGAGTTTGAGGAAGTGGAGCGACATTCATGCCGATATGTCACTTAGTAGGTTAGTAATGCGATTTTTCGATAAATCCAAATGTGTTCTTCGATTAGATAAGGTGGAGAGGAGGTGTTACAATCTTCACTTCGTCTGATCAGAGAATGCCGTATATTCACTGAAAAAATAAAAGGCATTCTGTAAAGGGTGGCGAGCAACCCCTGTGGTCAGTATGCAGTGGGGCAATAGCCGGCACAGGACGCAGAAGATTGCCATTGTCACTGTAGCAGTGCCATGTACTACAGTGATTGAGAGCTTCCTCAGGTATTATATATGGATACTATATGCCATGTGTTTATATATATATATATATATATATATATATATATATATACTGTATATATACACTATATTGCCAAAATCATTGGATTCAGGTGTTCCAATCACCTCCATGGCCGCAGGTGTATAGAGATGCAGTCTGCTTCTACAAACATTTGTGAAAGAATGGGTCCCTCTCAGGAGCTCAGTGAATTCAAGCGTGGTACCGTGATAGGTTGCCACCTGTGAAATAAGTGCATCTGTGAAATGTCCTTGCTACTAAACATTCCACAGTCAACTGTTAGTGGTATTATAACAAAGTGGAAGCAACTGGGAACAACAGCAACTCAGCCATGAAGCAGTAGGCCATGTAAAATGACATAGTGGGGTCAGAGCATGCTGAAGCATACAGTGCACAGAAGTCACCAATTGTCTGTAGAGTTTAATAGCTAAAGACCTCCAAACTTCATGTGGCCTTCAGATTAGCACATCAACAGTGCGTAGAGAGCTTCATAGAATGGGTTTCCATGGCTAAGCAGCTGCATCCAAGCCTTACATCACCAAGTGCAATGCAAAGCGTTGGATGCAGTGGTGTAAACCACACACTGCCACTGGACTCTAGAGCAGTGGAGATGTGTTCTCTGCAGTGACGAATCACACTTCTCTGTCTGACAATCTGATGGACGTGTCTGGGTTTGGTAGTTGCCAGCAGAATAGTACTTGCCTGAATACATTGTGCTAAGTGTAAAGTTTGGTGGAAGGGGGATTATGGTGTGAGGTTGTTTTTCATGGGTTTGGCTTGGCCTCTTAGTACCAGTGAAGGGAACTCTTAATGTGTAGCTTATCAAGACATTTTGGACAATTTCATGCTCCCAACTTTGTGGGAACAGTTTGGGGATGGCCCCAAAGCACAAAGCAAGGTACATAAAGACATGGAAGAGTGAGTTTGGGGTGGAGGAACTTGACTGGCCTGCAGAGAGTCCTGACCTCAACCCAACAGAACACCTTTGGGATGAATTAGAGAGGAGACTCTGAGCCAGGCCTTCTCGTCCAACATCAGACTTCACAAATGCACTTCTGGAAGAGTGGTGAAACATTCCCATAGACTGACTCCTAAACCTTGTGGACAGCCTTCCCAGAAGTAAATACATATAGATATATATATATATATATATATATATACTGTATATATTGAGCTATTACACATAACATACAGTCTTACCATGTATAAATTTATAGCAGTCACGTTACATTGAAATGATATCTAATTAGTTGCTTTCTTTCAAGTCAGAAGGCCTTGGCTCTAATTCTTTCTTAATGGACATTTTATTTCTCGGTGATCTGAGCATTTCTGTCACATCACCCTCTCTCTGTGTTCTGCCTAATGCCCTGTATAAAAAGGTCACTTCCACAACCTGCCAAGGACTGTACCGCAATGCCAACATAACTCACTCATAAATATTTAACACCGTGGCCTAGATTTAGATGAGAATACCATGAAAGAAAAGTCCTATGTTGTTCTGAGATGTCACAAGTAAAATTTA